CAATATTCTCATTAGACATTAATTCCCTCAAGTAGAGAAGGGCATTTGTGAGCCCATTCCCATTGTCAATAAACATTACTTAGACTCCTACTGTTATGTTGGACCACTGCTGCTAATTGGGGTGTGGGGTGAGATATCTCACCTTCCAGTTACACTCCAGAGCGTAAATTTGTTCCTTGTAGCTGAATTGTTTCACTTCTGTATCTCCAGTACACAGCACAGGGCCTGGGAGGCAGTAGGTTCTTAATAAATGCTTGTCAATTGATCAGGAGTGAAAGAAGAGTGGGAGGTATCAAGGAGAAAGCAAGGTGAGGGCATTAGCAAATTTAACCCAGAGTATTGGTCTGGAATCAATCAAACCAACATGGTTAAGCAAATTGCTAAATTAGGGCCAAGGAACTACTGGAAATGAAAAGAGCGTTGGAGAGGAGTCTAGCGGTTGGGGACAGTGGAGAAAAGACTTGTTTACTCAAGAATTTTTAGAGCCACTAGTCTTTCCAGCCTGCCTTGCCTACAAAGAGCTGCTAAGCCTGAGCTGGCCCTGGCACATATCCCAGCTTCCGGCAGGTTGGTCCCTCTAAGGAGCAGGGGGTGGAGTATGGCTGCCTCCTGATAAGAGGAAGCCATACCAAGACACATGCTGTGCATGGCAACCTCTCAATTCACATAATCAACTCAAATACTTGCACCTGAAACTCTTTTCTCAGTACTTTTATCCAGGCTAGCTCTTGGTTCTCCTCTCAGCTCTGCTCCTGATTGTCCACTCCTGCTCCAACTCATGAAATCAAGAGATCACTTAATTTCAGAGTCAGGGGCAGGGGAAGGGGGGCGGACCCCCAGAGGTGACTGAAAATAGCTCATACCTGAACAAGAATCCTCTCTACAACATTCTGGACAAGTGGCTATCCTTGACCTAGTACTATTAGTAAGGAGAAACCCACTCTACAAAGCATCCCATTCTACCTTTGGATAGCATTAATTATTAGTTTTTCCTGAGACCAAGCCTAGATCTGCTTTTATGAAATTTCATCCCATTTTTCTGCAGCCACCTGGAACAAGTCTAACAGCTTTTCCACGTGACAACCTTTCACATATTTACAAATAGCTATGATATCACCACTATATTCTTTTTCCCTTCTCCAGGCTAAACACCCCCACTTCCTTCAACTGATTTTTCACACAGCATGATCCCAAGGCCCTTCATCTTCTTGGCTGCCCTCTTCTGACTTCTCTTCAGTTTATCACTATATTTGCAAATGTGGCATCCAGAATTGGACACAATACTCCAGATGAGGTCAGACCAGAGCAAAGTACAGTAGGGATATCACCAACCAAGTCCTATATATTGTGCCTTTCTTAATGCAGCCTGAAATGGCACTTACTTTTTAGGTGGCCATATTACATTGTTGACTCACATGGACCTTATGGTTTCTTAAAACCCTCACATCTCTGTCAGATGAATTGCTCTCTAACCACACCTCTTACAGCTCGTACTTTGGATAAGCCTCAGCTGGCCCTGGCACATATCCCAGTTTCTGAAAGGTTAGTCTCACTAAGGAGCAGGGGAGAATATGGTTGCCTTCTGATAAGAGGACATTAGACCAGAACACATGTTGTCATTCTTTATGATGATCCCAAGTTCTTGCATCTAAACTACTCCTGTAGCATTTTTGGCCCATGCCAGCTCTTGGCTATATCCTCTTGGCTCTTTTCCTGACTTAACCTCTTTCAAACCACAGAATCAAAGAATCCCTTATTTCAGAGTTGGAAGAGACCTCAGAGGTGATTGACTACAACTCATACCTGAATAAGAATTCTCTCTACAACATTCCTTTGCCCTGTCCCTATTCAAATTCATCTAATATTCAAGCTCGCCATTTTGATTTTCATCCAGCATGTTAGTTGTTCCTTAGTCTTATGCTATCTGCAAATTTGAGAAAGATAACATCTATACCTTTATTCTAGTTGTTTATTAAAATGTTTAAAAGTATAGGGCTTAAGGGAAGAAAGGAAGCAATAATATAATAATCCTGGAAATGTAGGATGTGTTCAGGCTGTGAAGGGCTTTAGATGCCAATAGAATTGCATTTGATCCTAGAAGCAATAGGAGCCACTGGACTTTATTGAGTAGAGGAGTGATGTGGTCAAATTTACATTTTAAAAATTACTTTGGCAGCTGTGTAGAAGATGGTTTGGAGAGGGGTGGAGACCTGAATCACATAAACCAACTAGGAGACTGTTGTAATAATCTAGGGCAGAGATGGTGAACATGGAGCCCATGGACCACATGCGGCTAACAACACTCCTGAGTTTGAACCAAATAAAATGTAACTGGGCAATATTTAACAAAAGAAATAAAAATCCAATACAATGTGTGATAGAATGTAGATAACGTTGCATTTTAAAGCTTAGTCAACCTGCAGCCCACAAGGGATCCTTATGTATGGACTAGTGGCCCTGTTTCTATTTGAGTTTGACACCACTGGTCTAGGTGGGAGTTGATGATGGCCTGAACTAAAGAGGCAGTTATGTGAGTAAAGAGAAGGGGTCAGACATAAGAGATATTGTGGGGATAGAAACAGTAAAATTTGTCAACTAACTGAATATGTGGTGAATGGAGGATAATGCCCAAGATATAAATTTGAAAGGTTGGAAGAATGGTGGTATCTTCAACAGAAATAGGGAAGTTTGGAAGAGGGGTGGGTTTGAATTCTGTGTGAATGTATGGAGTTTAATTTGCGTCTGGGGCTTCCATTTCAAAATACCCAATAGGCAATTGTTGATGTGGAAATAAGCACAGAAGAAAGCCTTAGGCTGGATATATAGATCTGGGAGTTATCAATGCAGAGATAATTAAATCCACGGGAGTTGATGAGGTTACTGAAAGAGTGTGTAGAAAGAGAAAAGAAGGCATCTAGGACAGAGACTTAGGAAATATCCTCCACTAAAGGGTATGATTCAGATGATGAGCCAGTAAAGGAGACTAAGAAGGAGTGATTAGAAAGGTAGGAGAACCAAGAAAGAGCAGAGTCATGAAAATCCAGAGAGAAGAAAGTGTCAGGAAAAGAGGAACTTTAACAGTGTCAAGGGCAGCACAGGTCAAGAAGGATGAGGACTGAAAAAAAGACTATCTGACAAATTAAGAGATCATTGTTAACTTTGGAGAAAGTGGTTTCAGTTGAATGATGAGGTTGGAAGCCAGGTTGTAAAGTGTTGAGAAGTGAATGAAAGCAGAGGAAGCTGAAAATAGCTTTTCCTGGGATTTTGTCTGAGAAAGGTTAGAAATATATAAGATTACATTTAGAGAAGATGGTAGAGTCTAGTTAAAGATAGGGGAGATGAGCATGTCTGAAGATAATAGGGAAGGAATCAATAGGTAGGAAGAGACATTAGATTAAAGAAAAATAAGAGATAATTTGAGAGCTCAATCTGCTGCAGAGAAGGGAGGGAATGAGATCAAGGATATATATTGGGAGACTGACCTTGGTAAGGCGAAGGGTCACTTCATTATCAGAGATTCCAGTAGTAGACAGGATGAGGGGGATAATATGTAACTCATCCTGTTACCACACATTTCGATTTCTTTTTCTGGGTCTATATTTTAGAAACTTTTCATTTCACATAGCTTAGAGATTATACCTATGTGGTATAGTGACTCTGTTTACATACACTGTTTGAAAATCTTTGTAGGCTAATTTTATGTCAGGGCAATTGTAGACAATAGTTTGGTTTAAGATAATGACTCAGTTTATTAGTTGAGGTCTCTAGAATATCTTGATTTCTGTATTTTGTAGCGTGGGGGTTAGTTCCCTGTCAGTCCATAAAATGTATAATTTTAGCTACAAGGTTGTGCTTTGCCAGGCATTTGTTAGGAGCCAATTTTTTTTATAGGCTGCAGAGATAGGTGGCACAGTTCCTACCTTTTCTTTGTGAAATCACCATTGATCAATAAGTCTGGTCACTTTAAGGATAGCTTTGCCGTAATTTCTGATGACAATGACCTGATCCTGAATTGCAATCATAAACTCCTCTGTTTCCACAGACCAATTAGCATGACTGAGACATTTGTCTGATGCTTCTTTGTTGATATCCTGCTGAGTGCATGTGGATATTGACCACGAATGGCCTTTGGATTCCACTTTTGGATCTTAGTTGTTTCATACGCATTATCCAGAGGTAAATAACTTCTGGCTAGATGGGACAAATCGCGTAGCATGTATCTGTTATCTGCCTGTACTATTGCTTAGGGAAATAATCTCTATTTGTTCTAAGAGTATGTCTGTAAACCAGTTTGTCATATACTTTAAGAATAGTTATCAATGTTCCTCCTTTTTGGAAAGAAAGTGTTAATCTTTCTATACTTGCCCTAGGATGGTGGGCCCTACATTTCATTAATATTTTAAGTGTTTGTAAGAATTCTTTCCATGATCAAATGAGGTATTTTAAAAGCGCTTTTCAAAATTAAAAAAAAATTCTTTCTATAGCTGACATGGTCTATATTATAGTTTTGAAAATGTATATTAAGATAGATATTACATAGATGTTCATTTCTTTAATAAAGTTTTTCTCATATAGCTTTGGTTTTAGTATATCTCTCTACATATTCAGCCACAGATTTTTCTCTGATATTTTTATGCTTGATGTGTCGTAACTGGAGGAGACCAAGGTATTGGTTGTATCACTTTCATCCATTAATTAAATTTGATCTACAAATTCAATCTCAAAGCCTTTCTTCCCTTGGCTTATATTAAGAATATTAACCTTATCAAGTCCAAATGACACTTTGATATCATTAGAGAAATATTCCACTATTATTACTAATTCTTGGCAGTTAGAGGTGGAAAAGTAGCACAGTATTGTCTGGTTCCCAGGCCTTACTAGAGTTGCTTTTTTAAGAGTCAGTAGAAGTCTTATAAGTATAAATCAGAGTAGAATTCTTAACAAAACAAAGGACAGGAGAATTTCAAAGGATAATTTCAATTATTTGAAATTACATGTAATTTAATAAAGCAAAGGTAATAAACATATATTGTAGATGTAATAAATATATTATAAATACAAGTTGAAATTACATGTAAAATTGGAGGCCTTTGCATGAACAAATCAGGTTACCTAGGAAAAGATAAAAAGACAGTGATTCAGAAAAAAATCTTTGTATCAGATATCTTTGTTAAGGGTCTGATATACATATACATATATATATAGAGAGAGAGACAGAGACAGAGACAGAGACAGAGAGAGAGAGAGAGACAGAGACAGAGACAGACAGAGACAGAGATACACAGAGAGACAGAGAGAAACAGACAGAGAAAATCGGAAATCAATACAAATATGTAAGACTAAAAGTCATTCCCTAATAAGTAAGTGGTCAAAGGTTATGAACAGTTCTCAAAAGAAGAATTATAAACTATTAATAACCACATGAAAGTTTGCTTCAAATCACTAATTAGAAGAGAAAGGAAAATCAAAATAATTTTGAGCTTTCATCCCAAATCCAGCAAACTGGCAAAGAAGACAAAAGATATAGCTAATTTTGGAGAGGATACTGGAAGACAGACACAATAATACACTGCTGGTGGAGTTTCAAATTAGACCAACCATTCTGGAAAACAATTTGGAATTATGCAAAAAAAAAAAGTCTCAGGCAGGGGAGGGGGGAGAAACTATTCATACTCCACTGACCCAGATATCTCACTATTAAGCATAAACCATAAAGAGGTCAAAGGAAAAAGGGACTTACATGAATGAATATAAATATAATAACTATAATAATATAAACAAAATAATATAAATAAATAAATATAAAGATAAAGATTCGTAGCATCACTTTTTATAAGAACAAAGAACTAGAAACAAAGCAGATGTTTGTAACTAAGCAAATTGTGGTATATGAATGGAATGGAATACTACTGTGACATAGAATAAGAAAAATTTAGAGCAGCACAAGAAGACATATAAATTAATGTAGAGTGAAATAGATACAAACAGGAAAACAACATAAACAGTGACGACTACAGTGTAAATAAGAACAAAGAAATGAAATAGAACACTGGGTAACTACAATGATTGTGCTTGGACCCAGAGAAGAGATGAGAAAATTCACCTCACTCCCTTCACTGCAGAGGTGGGGTACTAACCCACTTCTTAAAGAGGCCTATTCACTGAATGGACATTGCCTCACTCTAAGTGAGAACCTGAAAAGACCTTAGCTTAAAAGGGCTAGGGTCTCCCATTGCATCCTGAGCTATCTCCAGTCCTGCTGATGAATATCTGGCCACTGGACCCAGATGGCTCTGGAGTAGAAAGTGAAGCTGATGACCTTGCACAGCCCTCCTTCACTCAAAACAAAGTCAATTGCAAGTCATGTCATCATCTCCTTGATGTTATGGGGGACTATAGATGTGGAATAGGGGATATACTTTTAGACACGGTAGACATGTTAGTTTTGCTGACCTTCTTATCACTTTCTTTTAAAATCTTCTTTGCAAGATTTGTGGTAGGTGGAGGTTCAGAATTTAATTATATAATTAATGTGATGTAACAATAAAAAGTATCCTTAGTAAAATAAGGAAAATGTGATTTTAAAAGTGCAGAGGGAGGGATAGATGTTTTGTCAAAAGTTTTGATAAAGGAAACCACAAGGGAGTCCTTGCCTGGTAGCATCAGCCTGTCTTCTTGGTGACCTCAATTTGTGCCTGTCTGTCTCCTGATTTCCTTCCTGTCCCAGTTCTTCCTCTGCCTAAGTTTGGCTGCTCTGCTGGCCTTCTTTTGACTCTCCTTGCTTCTTGGTTTTCTGTCTGCTCCTTTGGCCTTGGCATGCCAGATCCTTCTTCTGCTATTAGACCTCCATTTCTGACTTGCCTCAGCCTAGGGACCCTGGTCATTGGTCTTTAATTCCTTACTTCCTTTCATAAAAAGGAAGGACTTGACAAGAATTTTCAAGGTATTACTTGTATTCCTAATGCCTTCATGTTGTTGTCGGGGTAGCAGGTTTGGCGAATCAGAGGGCCATGAGAATTTTGATGACTTTGGCAGGACTTCAGTCTTCAGGATCCCACCACTCTCATTTAGACCTTCGCTCTCAGACCATCTCCTTTCTCCTCTCCCTAGTCTTTCTCCTCCTCTTCAAACACTCCTGCAAGGTAGGTTGGTAGATAGGTCAAAGTTCTTTTCCCCTTTCCCTCACAATGAAAATATATTAATGCAAATACTTTGTACTTAATATTCCATCAATTTTAATTGGAAGCAGGACTTAAAAGCACACATATAATATAAAATATGATAATTTCTATAATAGGGTTTTATATAATGATACTAATTGCCCAATTTAACTACTTATTTTTGACTTTATATGCATAATCTCATTTGGTCCTTACAACTATTTGCCTCAGTGTTATATACAGCTCTTGGGAGTCTGGATCGGGAATGGTGTGTAGCAACAAAGAAGATGGCATTGTTAGAAACTTTCCAGCAGGAGGGAATTAAGAGGGCAGGGCTGATTTTCTTCCACTTAGTCAAATTAATCACTGTGAAAGAGCTTACTTATGTTACTCCCCTATTCAGTAAACTCCAATGGCTCCCTATCATCTCCAGGTTCAGATAGAAAAGTCTCTGGCATTCAAAGCATAACCTAGCCAGCTCCTACCTTTTAACCTTCCTACATTTTGTCTCCTAGCCCCCTTCACATACAATCCAGCGACACTGACCTCCTTGCTATTCCTCACATGACACTCTATCTCCAGACTCCAAGCATTTTTACTAGCCGTCCCTGGAATTCTCTCCCTCCCTTCTGCCTCATGGCTTCCCTGGTCTCCTTCAAGACTCAGCTAAAATCCCATCTTCTAAGAGAAGCCTTTCCTGACCCCCATAATGCTACTGTCCTCTCTCTGCTGAGTAACTCCAATGTATTTGTTTGTGTGTGCATACACACACACACACACACGCACGCACAGAGTTTGTACATGGTTGTCTTCATCAGACTGAGCGCCTTGAGAGCAGGGACTTTTTTCCCCCCTTTCTTTGTATCCCCAGAGTTTAGCACAGTACCTGGCATATAGTAGGGGCTTAATAAATGATTATTAATTGATTGACATATGACCAAGCATAGAAAGGCTCTGGCATCTGCAGATCATTTGAGTGTGTCTCACAGTGAGACATCTTTGTACAGCTTAGTATCTGGTTTGTTTATTTGTTTGTTTTCCTGTGGTACCAAACCATTGCAGCCTGACCCCTAGACATCCCCTTTCACTAGCTTCCTTGGACTTTGTTGTGATGCTGGTTTGGGACCTGCTTCAGACATAACTTACTTTTCTGACCCTTCAGTTCCATGAGCCTTATTCTAGGTTCATAGATTTAGTGCTGGAAGGGAAATTAGAGGTCACCTAGTCCAACCCCTTTATTTTATAGATGAGGAAACTGAGTCCTAGAGTGTGAAAGTGACTTGCCTAAAGTCCCACAGGTAGAAAGTACATGGCAAAGCTGGGTCTCCAACCTAACTCTTCTGAATTAAAATTCAATGCTTTTTCTGCCATCCCATGCTACATGGTTACTGATTTTGGCTTATTTGAATCATAATTTTTTCCCTTTCCAGGGCAGAGATTTCCCATGTTCCTCCTAACCCTCAACTTGGGAAGAATTCCATTTTTACCATTTACTCTTCAGCATTGCTCATGAGATAATTTGGTGGACTATGGGGGATAGTATAATAACCACTTTGACAGACAGGTAATACTAAGTATTGTTATCCTAATTTTTAAGTGAGGAAATTGAGACAGTTAACAAGTGGCAAAGCTGCACCTGGATGGAACCCAGGAATTCTAACTCCAGGTCTTGTGCTCACCCCACTTATCCAGACACAAAGAACAAAAGTCTTGATATGAACATTTCATAGTTACCTAAGAAACATACATCAAAATGATCATGATTTCCTTAGGCTGGAAAATCCTTCCACTGGTGTACATAGCAAATCTTCCACACTTTAGTAGGCAGTTTCATGGGTTGCTTCTGTGTCTGGTTCCATATCTTGCATAGGATGAGTAGGGCTTCATCCAAACTGACTAATAATGATGGGAGACCATCATTTCTGTGTAGCACTTTATATTCCTCAATAGGTACTATCTCTGGATGCTATTCCCAGGGTCCTAAGACCATGATATACCTTTCTTGGGCCCACCTTCCTCCTCCCACCACAGTTCTTGTGGGTGTGAGGATGGGTACTCTAGTGGATACATTATCCCTTCCAACTTGTTTACTCTCATATCAGTACCATATTCTGTGCCACACCTGTAAATGAATTTTCCCCAGGCACAGTTATAGATAGTTATAGTTCTGGCTGTGGCCAAAATAAACAGAAACAAAACCTCATCACTTGGTGGCCAACTGGGTGGTGAGCATCTACACACATAGCTAGGCTGGTTCTTGGATGACAAGCCCAAAATGAAAGTCTTTCCAGCTTGGTAGAAACTGCCAAGGCTTATACACTGCTAGCATAGCCTTCCAGAACCCAAAGCCACTTCCAGAGCCCAATGAGGCAATAGAGAAGACTTGCAGTATTCAATAATTCTCCTTTACTATTATTTCACTGGGATGCTTACCAGCAGCTGCTAAGTCTCCAAGCACAAAGAATAGGTTTGAAAACACTACCTAAGTTGGGAGTGACACCTATATTTACCTGCATTTTAAAAAATAGGGCTCTAGGCAAAGTTGAGGTTAACCTCATCAGGTATTTAGCTTCCAGATGCTGCTCCACCCACCACACCCAGGTCTTATTGGCAGGAACAGACTTTCTGGTTTGGAAAACGAAATATCATCAAATGATGCTAATTAACAAGTGGTGGGAGGATGGTCACCCTCTCCAGACACCAAAACTGCTAAGGAAAAATGTTATATAAAGAACAAACAAACTCTTTTGAACAGGCCAGCCTCTATGTTCAGTTCAACTGGCGTTGCCCTCCTAACCTAGTCTTCCATCCAGCACAGTGGGCTCAGTATGTCCTGATCCCAGAGCAGGTGCCTCCTGAGAAGCCACCCCAGGGCTTGATGTGGGAAGGTGCAGCCAGGGGTAATCTCAGGGAGGATGAGCTAGGGATTTACAGGATGGCATTTACTGGCAGTTTTACAAAAACCACAGGAAGCTGTATTAAGCTGCTGTGTTTACCGCTGACTTGTGGAGCTCTGTTGTGATGGGCTGTAAGCACACTTAGTAATTAAAAGTAATGAGTAAGGAGGCTCTGAACGAGTGAGGAGGAGCTGTAGGAAACTACCACAGGGAGTGGATTATCTCACTCCAGCAGGCCTGGTCAAGACTCTATCTCTCTCTTCCTCTCTCTTCCTCTCTCTCTGTCTGTCTGTCTCTCTCTCTCTCTCTCTGTCTCTCCCCTCACTTGTTATATTGCTTAAAGAATTATAGAGCAGTTGGGGAAATGTGCTGTTTTGGGAGTCAGAGGACCTGGGTTGGAATTTCTAGCTCTACTACTGACCAGCTGTATGACCTTGGATAAATCACTTCATTTTTCTGAGCTGCAGTTTCCTCATCTGTAAAATGATGGAATTGGACTAAATGATCTCTAAGATATCTTTCAGCTCCAAATCCTAATAATACAGAAACTGAACTTACAACCTGATACTTTTATTCAACTCTTCCTCACAAAACCCAGTCTCTGCAATAGTCTGCTAAATATTAAATGTAAAAGACCAATTATAGAATGGTAACTTGTGCCTAAACGAATTCTCTCTGAATCCTATTAAATATAAGATAGGAAGAAATGTTGAATTGAATTGAATCCTGTAATAGGCCCATTCTAAAGACAGTACCATTTGAACATACAGAAAAAAAACCCCAAAACCCAACAACTTCTTACCTACCAGCTCTTTTTGTTAACATGGGATTAGTTGCCAGGTGGCCAAATGACAATTATGGAGTAAAAGTGGTGTTGGACCCCAGGGCAATAGCGGGAAGAAACTAAAGGTCAGTCTGAGGTCATTAGCTGTGGGATTGGGGGTGAGAAAAATGACTTAACAACAACAAATAGGATGGAATAAATTTGAGCCTCCACCAGGGAATAGGAGATGCTCACAAGACCTGGGTTATTTATTAGGGTGCCCCTAGCCTGAGGACAGATTGACTTAATGCTGACCAGCCAACTTCCTGCTTCTTAGCTGTGGGAAGGAACATTTCTGCATACCAGCAGATAAGAGGAAAGTTTCCCAAATACGCACTTGCGAGCCTTCTTACCTCAGGCTAGCAAATGTTTCTGTCCCGCCTCTCCCCGCCTACATTTGGCTTCTCTTCATAAGACTGACAGACCGTTATAATGGGATCATAGATTAATGGAGTTCCTGTAGTGGATCACGTTTTACAAGTAAGATAACTGAGACCCTTAGAAAGTAAGTAATTTGATCAGATCAATAAGTGGTAAAACCAGATTTGGAACCTAGGTTCTTCTACCCTAAATCTAATGAATTTTACGATGTGCCTCAAGGGCCTTAGACGTAAGCTAGAAAAATATAGCAGTGTTGTACAGCAGAAAGCCTTCTCAGTTTAAAGTCAGAGGACTTGGGTTCAAATCCTGACTTTCACATACTAGCTAAGTGACTTTGGATACATTACTTAACCTCTCTAAGGCCTCACTTTCCTTATTTGTAAAACAAGAGTTGGGCTAGATGACCTTTAAGGTTTCTTCCAGCTTTAACTCTATGATCTAGAGAACCAAAAATGGGCATCTAGCCCAGAGTTGTCAAACACACAGCCCAGGCAGCCCACAGCACTCATGAAAACAGCCAGAGCCAGATTAAAATGTAATAGGGAAATATTTAACAAAACAAACAAAAATACAATAAGACATAAATGATGTTACTTTTAAAAACTAAGTCAATATGCAGCCCAAAGGGATCCTTATGTACAGTTTAATGGTCTCTCTTCATATCTGAGTTTGGAACTACTAATCTAAATTCCACTTGAATGATTTTGTTGGTATGTGCATCCACTGCCCCAAATTGGTCCTTTTGGTTAGATGGCTCTAATTATGAGTGTATTATATTGAGCCAAAATCTGCTTCCCTGAAAGTTCTACTGCACTAGCCCTGGTTCTGCCCTCTGAGATCTGGTAGAACAAGATTAATCCCTCTTCCCCATGGCAGCTTTTCAGATACTTGGAGACAGTGGTCATATCAGTATTCTCAGCTCCAGGTTCCACATCATGACCACTTCCTGATTTCATGGATAAAGAAGCTGACTCCAAAAGAAGTTGAGTGATTTGTCTAAGATGATATGGTTAGTAATTTAGTTGCAGAGCTAGAGACCTGGATTGCTAACTCCCAGGTCACCATTCCTCCCATGACACTAATAACAAATAACAATAGTATTTACATAATGCTTTAAAATTTGCAAAGTGCTTTGCAAACATTTCATTTGATTCTAACAACATCCTTGAAAGATAAGTGATTTATCACCTCCATTTTACAGATGGGGAAACTGAGGCAGTCAGCGATTAACTGACTTGCCCAGGGTCACATGGCTGTGAAGTGTCTGAGGCTGGATTTGAACTCCGGTCTTCCTGACTCCAGTCCCATACTCTATTGTACCACCTTGCTGCCCTCTTGTCATCTTTAGAGGTCCTAGAACCTATTTTTTTCCATATTCTTATCCTCTGTGTACCGCCCTAGCTCAGTACTTCATTTATGGAAATCGCTCCTTAACTGACTGCCTAATGAGGACAAATCACCTCTGTTGTTTATTAGTTCAATAAACAAATCATTAGTTTACTACCAAAGGTCACCACTGTCAAAAATTGTTAATGTTACATCTGGTTAGTTCAACAGTATGAATTTATATTCTAGGTCTTTGATCAAAGCTATTTTGCTTTGGACCAGAAACCCTACCCTCCCACCTGGAAGTGTTCTCACCACACACCTTGTTGACCCAGTCCAATTTTTTTTTTCATGTGCTCCTGGGACTCCTGTGGAGGCTGTTTAGGTAATTACCTAATGATAAACAATTTTTTTATAATTATAAAGCCATGAAAAAATTATTTCAAGAAAAAAGACAGAAATTATGGGGAAAACCTGAAAATATGCATAATTTCTGTGTTAGCATCCTGCTTCTGAACCCTGACTCCTCATCTCTAGCAGCCCTCTCTGTTGCTGATGTCTCTTCTCACAGCTCTTCTCTCAGAGGGCCTGAGGATGGAATAGGTATGGTCTTTTCACTGCCTCTTTCAGATTCCTCTTCCCTTTAGACACCACTTTTCCTTCTTTCAAATTCATGCCATCTAACTATATCATACTCTTTTCTCATTTACTGACCTACCTGGCACTCTCTTACCTTCCTCAATGACTTTGGAACTTGGCTCCTGATCTTTTTTCCACCCCTTCCCTAATCATAAATCTCAAAGACAGCAGTAGCTACCCAGCAGGAGAACCAGGTCTTTGCCACAGGGCACTGAGATTTAGAAGATGTTGACAATAGATATATTCCTTCAGCAGGTAGGACCACTTTAGTATGTAGTTCAGAGGTGCTCTCTCCAAAAGCATTCCACAAACTTTTAGGTTTAATATACATTATTAACATTTTCCCATCACTTTCTTAAATCTAGACAATCAACCAAATGATAAATAAAGTCCTGAATTTGTAGCTTTTGCCAATTTCTGAGGTGTAAATGCTCACATTAAAAAAATTAACAATTAACAGGATGGAGATAGCTCCAGCATACCCCTGTGGGGAGTTAGAAAGACCAATTAGTTAAATGAAAAGTTACCAAATTTCCTTTCCCTAGGTGGCTTTCTATCTGACCTTGCCCCATCTTGCTCTCTTCCCAAGAGCCCTTCTAAATAATAACTCACTCTTTTTTTTTTAAGGCAATTGGGGTTAAGTGCCTTGCCCAGGGTCTCACAATTAGTAAGTTTCAAGTGTTTGGTTTGAGGTCACATTTGAACTCAGTTCCCCCTGACTTCAGGGCCTGTGCTCTATCCATTGCGCCACCTAGCTGCCCCTCCAAGAGCCCTTCTTAATAGTGACTCTTCAGTGTCCTACAGTCTCCCAGGCTCTTTGCCTACTTGGCCTGTTTCCAAAAGTGCATCTTCTTCCCTACAAGGAGGTGTCCTGAAGTTATCTTACCCTATCTATGCAGGGTCCTAAGACAAACTCAGTATAAATTTTGAGTTTGATGTATCTTCAAGTTGAAACATAAACAATTGGAGAC